GTCTGTGCACGCTGCAGCGCACTCCTGTGGCTGCACTCTCTCGCGAGAAGAGAGGAGTTTAGCCACTCATGCAAAGTTGGACACATCTGTTTGATAACGATGCTCTGAACACATAAATATTTAATATAAAGTTAGGTTTTAGGGACCAAAATCTCTGGTAGCTCTGGAGCAAAGAGCAGGTGGAGATGTCTGCTGCTCACTCAGGACCGAACGCTGCTTCAGCTGCTGCAATAATCGCATACTGATACTGAATTATGTCTAAAGGTGCAATAGCTGTAACATGGAGTTCAAACTAAAGCTGCAGCTCAGATAAACAGAGCATAGCATGCAACTCTGGCACCCGCTTCGKAAGTTATCATCCATTAAATGGAGKTTATTRGCCRTTATCAGTTCCATAGAATGGCTTCAGACTGTCAGCTGGTTAGTATAMGGTATAAAAGCACTAAGGTTAATTTTAGAGAATATGACAYGGGCTACGATAACGTAGACCGGACTCCGGCGGTAGCAGATYGTTGCATTCCAACGTATWTGGCAGTGGYAACTCACTAGGGGGCACTGTCGGGACAGTCTRAAGCCATTCTATGGGAYGGATAACCGTTAATAACGTCCATTTAATGGACTGATAACATCCGAACCGGCTGACGCTGACCACACTGACATCTTTTATGACTGTTGACCTAGGAAGTCATTGCTCCACCTTATTCTTAGTCCCCATGATGCCTTGTGTGAGTTGTGGTCGTGATTTCTGGCATGAACCAGATCCGGCATATTTTTTTTTGTGCAAATAGTACGAGCTAACATAATTTGAAACCATGAACAACCTGAAAAGCCYGAGGCGTATCAGTCCCTGCATAGTAATGGGGTAAGTCGTGTTTTGTTAAAAGAATTAAAAGTTCACCTAAAGCCCTAAAGTCCCACATCACCAAGCCTGGGTTTTAGTTTCAACATGAGGTGAAACACAAACAGAATGTTCTTGCATTGCAGGACAAGGAAAATCCAAGCTCCTGCCATGAAAGGTAAATGCTATATAATCTCACAGTTTTAGTTAYTAATGTCATTACATTTTGTAACAATAATGTCCAACAATTGTTTTTCAATGTGGAATTTATTTTCCATTAAGATTGAGATTGAGAATGCGGTCAGACAGGTACATTGATCTGCAGAGGAAGTGGAATGCAGGTACAGGGAAGAATGTTGAGCAGAAGACCGTGACACATAAATTTTAAGGATCATAAAGCTGACCATATTCATGAACGCTCATCAGCATCAACATCAGATCCCACAAGTGTGATAGCAGTAGAAGCCACCTCCAAGCTTCCCAAAGATCAGAAGGAATTTAAAAGTTATTTCAGCTCCTCAGCGATGGCCCCACTGTTTCAGCTGTAGACCAACAATCTCCCGGTGCTACAGAGCAAAACTAACACAGAAATTCCTGAATGAGCACTTGAACCCAACTTCGCTGGGATTACTGTAACTAGATATGGGGGAAAAAATTAGGACAAAGTGCAACAGCTCATGGAGGATCAAATGCACACTGTGGAGCGGAAAGGCCTGCTAGCTCCATGTCACTCGCAGAGTTTCTATTGGCCAAATGGTGACATCAGATGTTTAGAAGATGGAAAGTTTCTCATTTCTCACCAGCTCTGACTCATGTTCATTTTGGAGACGGGWAGCTGGCGACACAGATGTTGAAGTGAGGARTTAGCCAGAMTGCATCATGATCACTGTCAGATATTTAATTTCACTTCTCAATCRAACTTAGATTTTAGATCAACTTGATCAGAAGCTTTCCTAACAGTATTATTAATGTTTCTGCTAGTGAGCCATAAGGACAATTAAAGGCACAGTGTGTAGGATTTGTTGTTTTCAGCGACATCTAGTGGTTGAGTGGTTGAATCATCCTCTCTGGTCCTCCCCCCACCCCCACCTCCCGCTTCCAAACGCAAAGGAGTTGCTACGGTGTCTCTCAGGTGTCAAAAACCTTTGATAATTCCAACCGCGATGTCTACCAGCAGCTTCAGGGCTAGTCATGTTTCAAGTGGTAAGATTATGAGCTT